ATTAAAGAGTAGAGCTCTAAGAACTCTAGTAAAATCGAAGTATCGCGAGGATATTATAAGAAAATTTGTGGATCTTAACATATTAACAATTCCCAGTAGCTACATCTATGAATGCTTATTATATGCAAGAAAAAACTTGGATAAATATAATCTACACTCAGATGTTCATAACTATTACACTCGTTCTCGAGAAAACTTGCAATTAGATTTCCTTAGGCTAAATAGATCCAAAAACGCCTTTTCCTACTATGCCCCCTTCTATAAACTGCCTTTTAAGTGAAACTATTGCCTATTGCGTATTACCAAAATGTGATAAAAAAGTACCTGATCGCTAGCGCTTTCTACAATATTTGTGATTTTATTAAGTCTGATGTATTAATAATTTTATGATCTAAATTACCTATGTACAATTCTATCTAATCTCTTTTATTGTAATTGTTCTTTTTATATTGTAATAGTTTATAACTGGTATTCCATAAAATGTGTATGTACATGTATGTACTATTGCGGCCGATAAAAAGTAATCGACTAATTTTCCCGTTGTAAATATGGTTGTCACTAGTGGCATTTCAAAAATAATTTTATAAAATTAAGTAACGTCATCTTAAATTAAGTAAATCTTAAATTAAGTAAAGTCATTATTTAATTATGCCTTACCATACTTTAAGTGAAGCAGAGAAAGGCAAAATTGGAGATGGATGGTCTCAGCAACAAATAGCATATAAAATAAAATGCAGCAAAAGCGCTATTCAAAAATTAAACATAAGTGAGTGGAAACTGGTGACCTGAGTAGGGTAATGGGTTCTGGGCGTCCAAGAAAGACAACTCCAGTAAACGAAAACGAGTTGTGAGGCAAAACCCATTTTCTAACTCCATTCAAGCCAAAGAGGAAACCAACTTCCCAGCATCTGTTAGGACGGCAAGAAACCGGTTGCGAGAACAAGGTTTATTTAACTGCGTGAGTGCTAAAAAGCCTCGCTTGGCGGATGTTAATAAAGAGGCAAGAGTGGAGTTTGCAAATAATGTTTTAAATCAAAACGCTGAATATTGGGAGCGAGTAGTCTTTTCAGATGAAAAAATATTTCAATCCTGCTACAATGGGCAACTGCGAGTTTATCGTCCCAGAAACCATAAGTTTGATGAAGAATACCTCCACAAAACTGACAACAGCGGAAGATTTTCTGTCCACGTGTGGGCCTGGATATCATCTTCAGGGGATGGTATAATTCATATTGTAGAAGGCCGATTAATTGGGAACCGATACGTGGAAATTTTAAACGATGTAATGCTCCCGTCAGTGCAAGAATGATTTGATAATGATTTTGTATTTCAACACGTAACGGTTTATGATTTATCTTTCCTGATCAAAAAAATATATTTTTTTCATTTTAAGGATAACTCGTCAGTTCACAATGCTCATGTGGTTCATAATTGGCTAGAAGAAAATCTCATTACAACCCTTCCTTGGCCGTCAAGAAGCCCCGATTTAAACCCAATCGAAAATATTTGGGGATATCTCGTAAAAAAATATATAAATATGAATTTAGACCAAGAAATAGAAAAGACCTTATTAATGCAATTCAAAATGAGTGGAACAATTTGGAAGAAAATTACGATATGCAAAATTTAATTAGTTCCATGCCTAGGAGATTACAAAATGTTATAGAGAAGAATGGTGGTTCTACCAAGTATTAATTATTTTTTTTTAATGGAGTTTTTATAGCATTACAAATGTCTTAGATTATGTAAGATAATGCCCGAGGGAAGGCTGAATAAAAAAATTGCCATGGCCGGTTTTTCTGAGCCCATCCAACCCTGGTTGGCTCATCTTTTATAATTGTTATAGTCGTAGTATATTATTTCTTTTTAAGTTTAAATTTATTGATTTTGGTCGCCCAATAAATAATTTGTTCTTTTTGTTTGTATTACGAATAAACATGCTTTATATAATTTAAGTTTTTTTTATTTAAAAATTAAATATGTCATACACCTATGATTTCTTGTCAAAATAATTTAATTGACATGACTGACGTAAAAAACCCTACTTACAATAGCCAATTTTTAAGAAAAACATGCAACTTGATAAAGAATCGATTACTTTTTATCGGCCGCAATAGTACATTAGGGTGTCCCTTGTTTTTTATTTTTTCACGCATACCCTCTAATTATATTTATTACGTGTTTATATACTCCCAGTAAAAATTTCAGCTCAATCTATAAACGGGAACCCGTGCCGACTTGCATCTGAACCCTCCGTTAGCCAACGTTAGGCGCGCGGTATTTTGTAACACGGTTGGTCGCGAGGTCTTCGATCGTAAGTCATTTTGTGTTTGTTATTATGCGACTCTTATAGTATAAATTATTGATAAATGTTAAAATATAGTTTGGCTAGTTACCCGGAAGTGAATAAGCCGTAAACTCTGAAATTGATAAACTTAATGGGTTTTACTCTAACTAACTAAAAGAGTCTATTGTGAGAGATGACTACCGAAAACTTATTGAACTGTCTGAAATATTTTTGGGAGGACATCAAGAAAAGAAATGCTTATAAAAAGCTGAAATTTCATATAACAGTATATTTTAGCAATACTAATTAGTATATTACTATATTTAAGGGATAAAATCAACTAAATTTTTTTTTGGTTATTTTTTAATGGTCATTCAGATATAATAAAAAAAAGAATTTCGGGTAATTAGTTTTCTCTACGACTACTTAAGAATAGTAACATTCTAGTGTAATTTTTGATCATAGAAAGGATGTTTTTCTGCAATACTGTGCGAGAATATTCCCACTCTTGTTTAAGAATGGTCACAAGTAACGACATCTCCTGTCTGTTTACTAAACGTAAAAAATTTAAAAATATTTAAAATTACTGTATTATTTATTAATTAAAAAATAATAGCAGTTGTATAATTAAGGTTTAGGTACAAAAAATTAGTTATATTTATTGTTTTTTAAATATACAAATCAAAATTATAATAAATTTGATATTAAAATGATAAACCAGTTACCTACTATACCGGCTTTGAAGTTTTGACAGATTCAAAAAGTTTAAAAAAGACCTTTAAAATGTAGAAAAAGAATAGATGTTGACATAGATTACTTGTAAAATTAGTTTTGTATTTGTTACAATGTTATTTTTTTTATTAGTTAATGTAAATAACTATTTTTAATTATAATAAAGATTTAGGCATACAATACAAAAAACTTAAATGTCAAAAACTGCTTGGTTTCTTTTCTCTGGTTAAAATTATATAAGCGTTACTATTCTTACGTAGTCGTAGAGAAAATAATGTCTGAAACACGTTTGGAATAGCATATTCCACTCTCGTAAAACCGTCACACTCGCCTTCGGCTCGTGTGTCAAATTTTTCCTCGAGCGGAATATGCTGTATTCCAAACTTGTTACAGAATGTACTATTACGGCCTATTTACCCGACACTTCCGGGTAACTAGCCACTGTAAAAATCTTCATTTTTATTAAAGTATACACATAAATAAAACTATATTTTAACATTTTTTAATAATTTATAATATAAGGGTCACATAATAACAAACACAAAATGACTTACGATCGAAGACCTAGCGGCCAACCGTGTTACAAAATACCGCGCGCCTAACGTTGGCTAATGGAGGGTTCAGATGCAAGTCGGCTCGGGTTCTCGTTTATAGAATGAGCTGAAATTTTTACTGGGAGTATATAAACAAGTAATAAATATAATTAGAGGGTATGCGTAAAAAAAATAAAAATAAGGGACACCCTAATGTACAAAAAAAAACAGTTATAAAAATGACAGTAAATTCATTAAATATTGGTTGGATAACTTTTTTTTTATGAATCAGCCCTTTTTTCTCACAACTTTTGGCGATTTGCTCGAAAAAATAAAAAAAACGATTTTTTTCAAAAACTGTCCTTTGACGACTCCTACTGGTGAACCAATGCGAATTACAAAAAAAAACTCAAAAGCAATTTTAAAGAGGGTGAAATTCCCCATAAGGTGTATTAAACCGATTTGCAATATTGTCAAAGGTGGGTAAGCATTAGAAATTTGAAAAAAAAATATATTTTTACATGCATTTTAAACGGTAAAACTCAGGGCTGGATGCTCCCGTGTACGAGTTTTGGTTCGTCCCGCGCATGGCGTCACTTGATGAGTAGTTGCCGTGCGAATACACGAATAAGAGTAATATTATCAAAGAAAATAGAGAAATTTCTGGACATAGTGCTTTTTTATTAAACTTAATATTGAAGAAAGTGTTATAATATGGATAATAAATGCTTTCAGTCCTTGATAACATTTAGGGCTGTAGTTTAAGCGTTGGTGTTTTAAATTAAACTTATAGTCACTGTCCAGAAAATGTTTATAGGAAACAAAAGCGGTCTTAACGTAAATATTGTCTATTATTTTTGTGGCATTTAAACACTGTTTCCACAAATCAAAATTTTTCGGGAATCGATTAAATTTAATGTTTTTATTAAAGGGTTTTTCTTGGACTGGTTGTCCGAATTGCATCCAAATATGCCACACCGCATTTTAATAAATGCAAATGGCACTATACAATCTAACACTCATCAAGTGACGTATTTAAGCCCCGCCCAACATGTGCACCATCCTATCTTAAGGTGTATGTATCTTGGTTCAAACGGCTGTGGACGTACGTCTTTGATTAGGTCACCTCTACGGCCATCTTTAGGAATTATACTGCAGTAAATTTACGGACACAGAGAGAGTCCTACTTCTCTCTACCCTCCACGGGCCAAACAAAAACAAAAAAGTGGGCAGAGAAATAACTAGCTTGTTAGCTAATAAAAGATAAACAAAGCTTGTTTCTTTTCTATTTAATAAATAGCCTAAACATTATTTAACTGCAAGCACGAAATTAAATTAAAGTAACACGCATTTATGACTGCAAAAAAAAACAGTGATTTTTTTAACGACTGGAGTTTGTGACCGAGTTACATCATAGCCCCAAAACACTGCTACTAACTTAATTAATATTAATATTTACCTATCGTGGGCTGGTACTCCTGCTGTGGCAATAGAAAACACGTAAGCACAGTTTTTCCAGTATTTGAATCCGTATCAGTTTGAAAGGTCAGCAAAGGTTGCGCCTGGTTGTCGCTCAACCAAACAGCCTTAAGGCTTAATTGAAGAATAGAGTAGGGTAAATGGGGTAGTCTGTTACCTGACACATCTAACACATGTAACCTTTTACAACTGCCAAGAGTTTCCGGCAATGAAGTTAGCCTATTGTCGCGCAAACTTAACACTCCAAGTTCGTAAAGGTTTCCCAACTGCTCGGGAATCGCAGATAAACTATTACGGTCTATATTTAGGTTGGTAAGTTTTATTAAATGTCCTATTTCAATGGGCAGTTCACTAAGAAAATTTTCTGTTAAGATTAATTCTTGAAGGTTATTACAACAACCAATATTTGCGTTCAAAGAAGTCAATCTATTTTGGTCCACTTTTAAAATCGTAAGTTTTTCCAATTTGCCTATCCCATCAGGCAGCGTTTCTAGAACGTTTTGTGATAAGTGTAAGTCAGTAAGACTCTCTAATCCGGCTATATCGTCAGGAAGGTTCTCTAGACGATTTTCCGATAAATCCAGACAAGTTAAATTGCTTAACTGCCCAATATCCGATGGTAAATTTTGAAGTTGATTATGATCTAGCCACAATTCTTGTAAAGCAGGAAGTTTTCCTATATGAGAAGGCTAAAAACAATATAGTAATATATAGTGAATATGCAGTTTTATTATCTTACCAATTCCTCGATTTCATTATCGCCCAAATCTAATCTTTCTAATTTTGTCAACGATGCTAATGAGTTGGGTAGTTCTCTAAGCAGGTTTTCTCTAAGCTCCAGCGAGATTAAGGAAGTGAGCATACCAAAATCAGCTGGCAAAAAAGTTAAAGACATGTCATTAAGTCCCAAAACGGTTAGCGCTTTTAGCTGGCTAAAGGCGGGCGGAAGTCGAGGTATGGGATTTGAACTAAAATCGGCCACTTGAAGCGCCTGAAGAGTTCCGATGCTTTCCGGAATATCAGGAATGTCTAAAACAAATTAAATAGTAAATATTGTAGCACAAAAAAATCAGACATAGATATAGCATTCACTTTTCCTATTAGGTACACTCTCCATTACAAATAAAACAATTAATTAAAATGCTATACACGTGCTATGCCGGGCTTAGGTTAAAGGCAGTAGCTAAAGTGTAAAAAATCAAAACAGAAAACTGGAATATTTCTAAACCGAATTAATAGTATTATATTTTAATAATAATTATAATTATTTAGCGACTAATAATAGGTTACATGACTTTATAAAAAGTCATTTAAGTGTGATTTTAGATTAAAATTAGTCAAAAAGCCAAAAACAAGTGATTTAATGCCTTTTATTTTTGTAAATATTCATTTAAACTCTGTAAAACATAATTGCTGCTGTCTTTTACTGTTTTCATTATTTATATGTTTTATTTTGTCAGATGTAAAATGCAGTTATGTAAAATAAAATTTGTATTTTAATATATTTTATTAATATCAAAATGACAATATTTTTATTTATATGTTTATCCAATCGGTATCGATTAACAAAATCTTAAATAGGTAGTAATTAATATTTATTAATTTTTGTAAAACCCGTGTTATGTACAGGGTAATCCCCTATAATGACGCCACCCTTTAACTTTTTTATTTTAAGTGTCTCAAAAAATTTAAAAGTATGGTTATGTAGGTACTAAAAAATACTTTTTTTCTACGTTTAAGAAAATTGAAAAATTGATCAGTATACAGGGAAAACCAAAAAGGTTTATTTTTTCTCAATGGATCACCCTATATATGATTTCAATTTTAGATTCCTTGTAAAATTCCAAGCATAATTCATGTAACAAACAATATACCTATATTCAACCGTTTCTGAAATATTCGCATTTGAAACGTTACCATCAAAATTTTTGTTGCAAATCAAGAAGCCTTAGGATAACAAAATGTTTATTAAAAACTAATAACTATAGTGATATTATGTAAATATTGCTGTAGTTGTCTTGTTAAGTAATTATTAATCATACCACAAGTTATATTTAGTGAGAAAATATAATGAATTTTAGGATTTAACGAATTGTCAGTTGGTCTGTGGTTGGACATTTGAAATTAAAATGTGCTTTAAAATATAAAAAGACTTTAATAAACCTTATTCATTCAAACTTACCTTAATTTCATTATCGTTTACACCAACCCATCGATCTTTTAGAGTTTATAATTCATTATTTTAATCATATAACAAACACAGAATTTAAATGTCAACAAATGTCAAATCAAGAAAAGTTTCAAAATCCTTAGTAACGTGTAAACAAGGTGATAAAAAATATTGTCGCTGTGATAAAATGCGTAACTATAGAATACTGGCATTTTATTGGTTTTAATATTAATGAATTGTATTGTCACCCATAAAATAACAAGTGGTATGATTATCATCGATGATATTTTCGAATTGAAACCGAGCTGCAGATTTCACGAGTCTGCAGGATGTAAATGTAAATGTAAATATCATCGATAATTAATCATACCACGAGTTATATTTTGTGAGAAAATATAAGGAATTTTAGGATTTAACGAATGGTCAGTTTGACATATGAAATTAAAATGTGCTTTAAAATATAAAAAGACTTAAATAAACCTTTTTTATTCAAACTTACCTTAATTTTATTATCGTTTACACCAACCCATCGATCTTTTAGAGTTTATAATTCATTATTTTAATCATTTAACAAACACAGTATTTAAATGTCAACAAATGTCAAATCAAGAAAAGTGTTAAAATCCTTAGCAACGTGTAAACAAGGTGAAAAATATTGTCGCTGTGATAAAATGCGTAACCATGGAATACTGGCATTTTATTGGTTCTAATTATAATGAATTGTATTGTCTTAAAAATAATTTAAATATTTCTGAAACGGTTGAATTTATGTATATTGTATGCTATATGAATTATGCTTAGAATTTTACAAGGAATCGAAAAATAAATTCATATACAGGGTGTCACAGAACTCGCGCCACAGAGAAAAAGGGAACGTGCCAAAAGTAACGCGAAACACATTTGAAAATTAAAATTGTCTAACGCAAAGGATAAGCGAGATAAGAATAAAAAACTATAGCCAATCCCAATAGATGGCCATAGGAAATTCTTTAAATTGCTAGGATACTTAGGTTGCATTGTTCATAATAAAAAATATGTGAAATATTTGGTCGACTGGAATCCAATTCATTGTGACACTGCTGTCAATCTTTACTCCTGTCATTAATATTATAGTAGGTTATAAATTAAATTATTATAAATATTGTTTTCCTTATGACCACTTGCACCATAAGTTTAACAGTGGTTTTATTTTTAACATAGGTTTATTTTTCATAACTGGCTTGCACCGTAAATTAATCCTTGTTTAAATACCTCTTTAAACTACTGTTAAAATAAACCCCCAATTTCGGTGGTTTAAATTAGTTTAATCCACAGTTAACGATTTATAACCTCAAAAGTACTAGTCATCGGTATTCAAGATCTTTTTTTTTTCAAAGATATTATTTATTGACCTCTTTAGCAAATCCATTAACTATAGTAATAGGTATAGAGGTCAGCAACTCTATAATCAGTCACTACTAAGAAATATAATAGAAAGATTATTTGGAATTTGGAAAAGAAGGTTTCCAATGTTGGCATATGGCTTAAGATTAAAACTAGACACAGTTTTGTCCATTATTCCAGCTGCAGCTGTACTACATAATATTGCTAGAGACATAAATAAACCAGAGCCGCCATTGCCTGATGATATTAATACCATGAACTGGAGTACCCTGTTGTTACTACAAGATTATTTTGCGAATTTATAAAATTTAATGTGAATAATATTTTTGATGTTTTATTTAATTTATACTTATTTAAAATTAAAATAAAATAGTCACTTCTTGTTTATTATTATAATACATATATTAAGTTTTTCTTTTTCTTCTAAAATTTTAAATTCGAAAGAGTCATTTTTTTTCATCCTTTTCATTGTTAATTTCCTGCTCTAATTTTTATAGCCCTACCTGTCTCTTTGTTTTCAATGATACCCTTGTATCCACAGATTAATTAAATGATTTTTTTTCATTTTCTGAAAAATTTGAGGAGCGCCCCTTTTTCTTTTTAGGTTCTGTATCCATATTATTCTCTCTTACCAACAACAATCGGTCGTACATGAAATAGAATCGAACCACAGATGATAAAGAGTCGAACCACAGATTATAAAGAATTGAACTCTTAACGTCAAAATATATTTGCGTCACAAATAAGTGTGAAGTTAGTTATTACCACCAATCTTTTCAATTTTTTAGTCAAATTCCCTAGATCTATAGTTAAATTTTAAACCATGAGTATGAGTATGAGTATAAGAGACGTATAACCAGCCCCATTTCCTCTTGACTCTCAAACCCCGTACAGGCCTATGTTTACTTACGCCGATTTTTGTTCTTTCCCAGCAACTGCACGGCTTCACCCGTGTTTGCTGGGTGCGAATGTCCATTGCGTTCCGTACTGTCCCCTATTTGGGGCTCGAGAGCGAGAGGCGAATAGTTATAATAGCCGTTCCCGGGTTATAGTTAAATTTTAAACCATAGTAAAAAAATCACAGTGTAAGATTTTGGGCACTAATCTCCTGTTACCGTTTAACTTGTCAGTTTATTTACTTGATCAGTTAGAGAAAACGGTGCAAGTAGCCATTAGATGATTATACCGAAATAATAATTATTTATGGGGAGTGTGGGAGACAGCGCGAGTTTTTTCCCAGTGCTTTCCCAATCGTCTCTCCTGGACAGTAAAGTGATCCTTAGGACTATCACGAGAACCCGAGAGACCGGTCAAGTTGTTCTGCTTCGTAAGGGGATTGGAGGTGCTTCCAAACGTATTAGAACAGTGGAAAATGAAGAAGCAATTTTGAATGCCTTTGAGGAAAATAGTAGGAAGAGCATAAGGGAAGTTGCTCGAGAACTAGATATTTCCCGTTCTTCAGTTTAGAGGGTTACGAAGAACGATCGCCAACACCCTTTTCATTTTACCTGAGTGCAGCACCTTCAACCGGAAGATTTTCTTGCTAAAGAGGAATTCTGCCGGTGATTGCTAGAGCAAGAAGATCTCGAGCCAAGTTTTGTCTCTAGCATTATGTTTTCAGATGAGTCAATGTTTGCCATAATTTACATGTATGGGCAAATAAAAATTCGCATGCTATATTCCAACGGGGGTTCCAACATTGATTTTCTATTAAATTTTGAAATGCCATAAGGGAGATCGCGTTGTATGTAAACAATTTAATTTTTCTTTTGATTCTAATTTGGCCATTTTCCTCTAGGTTGGATTTATGCAAACTTCTAAGAAAACGATTTAGAGAATTTGTTAGGCGACGTGCCATTGGTATATCGAGTGAATGAATGGTTGCAGCATTTTAGTCGAGACGTTCGGCGAATCTTGGACGGGCAGTATCCTGACCGATGGATTGGACGAGGTGGGCCACAAAATTGGCCTGCTCGTTCACCCGATTTAAATTCTCTGTTTTTTTTTGGGGACACGTTAAAAACTTTATTTATAGTAAACCCATCGAAACAGAGGATCAGTTTAGGAACCGCATCCAAGACGCTTTTGCGACGGTTACTCCCGAAATGGTCATGGAGTCAAAATCCAGCCTTTTAAAAGAGCGCGGATTTGTTTACAAATGAATGGTGCAATCTTTGAACACTTATTGTAAACAGATTAACATCTTTTTTAATTTTAACATTTAATTTAGTTTTAATGTTTGTTTACTTTTTCGGAAATTTATAGTTTTTGTAACTGATGTTTTAATAGGTATTGACTTTTCTTAACCACATGGTTATAATAATAATAAAATTTATTAACACCAATTATTATTATTATTATTTTAATGGCACCAATTTGTTGTTTCATTAAAATTTAATTAAAAAGAGCAACAACTAGTTTGATTTTTTACTTTAAAACATTGGAGTTCTGAAGTATCAGTCATAGATTAATAACC